GTTCCATTATGTGGATGACACCTGGGTCAAAATCCAAACCAAGGAAATAGAAGTGTTCACCAGACACATTAACTCGGTCGATAACAACATCAAGTTCACCAGAGAGGATGCAAACGACAACTAACTGCCTTTTTTGGACTGTTTGGTTCAGATGGAAAGAGAGGACAGCCTCAACATTGAAGTGTACAGGAAACCAACCCACACAGACCAGTATCTTCTGTTTGACTCCCACCATCCACTGGAACACAAACTCTCTGTCATCAGAACTTTACAACATCGGGCCGAATGCGTCCCCACAAAGACAGAAGGTAAGGAAAAGGAACAGAAACACATTCAAGAAGCTCTTCAAACATGTGGCTATCCTAACTGGGCTTTTGTCAAGTCAGTGAGGAAATCTACAAAACACACCAATAAACTGAAAAAGGAGAACAGCAGATGTAAAAATATTGTCATCCCTTATGTTGCTGGAGTATCAGAGAAATTCAGAAGGATCTGCAACAAACACAAGATCCCAGTACATTTCAAACCCAGCAGGACTCTCAGACAGAGGCTGGTCCACCCTAAAGACAAAACACCCATACACAAACAGAATGGTGTAGTGTATGCGGTCCAGTGCAGCGAGGACTGTCCAGACCTCTACATTGGAGAAACTAAACAGCCTCTTCACAGACGCATGGCTCAACACAGGAGAGCCACCTCCTCTGTACAAAATTCAGCTGTTCGCCTCTACCTCACAGATAAGGGACACTCTTTTGAGGCCCAAAATGTGCACATTTTGGACCGAGAACACAGATGATTTGAGAGGGGGGTGAAGGAAGCAATTTATGTAAAAAGAGAAAAGCCGTCTCTTAACAGAGGAGGAGGTCTCAGATTTTCACTTTCAAAAACCTATAATGCAACTTTAAAACAGATTCCCAGTCGGTTTTCACACCTGATGGGAACAGAGGGGCCTCGTCTGTGAATTAGAGGAACAAAAGACTCTTACTGTTAAGGTGTTTAGGTGTGAATTGCCAATCTACATATGTGTGTGTGTCTTATCTCACTCAGCCTTAAAACCTGTATCTCTCACTCTCTGCTCTTTGAATTGAGAAAGCTCCTCGGATGAGGAGCGAAACGTCTTCTGTTACAAATAAAGTCCAGTTGTTTTTGTATTGAACGCTTTTTGAATTCATCATGTCCTGGATGACTGAGAATCTTCACCAGCATATTGCTAAACATTTTGGGAAGGATACCCTAGGAGCAGTGAGGGAGTTTGAGAAGATGTCAAGGAAGTTTGCAGACTACAGGAATCATCTTCGTTTCAGTCTGAGATGCAGACAAGAAAAACTCATCCCCAGCAGTTTGAAACTCAATTCCACGATCAAAGGACACAGAGCAGAAGGAATACTCCTGAAAGCTCAAAACAAGCTGCTCAGTGAGAGAATAAGACAGATACACTTCACCATTGAAGCTCTCTCACTCAAAATGGATCAGACCCTCCAGAAGCTGTCTACTCGGCTACCACTTCCTTTGTTGGAAGAAGTTTCTTGTTTCGTTGAAAAGGTCCAGCTTTCACAGCATCAAAAGAGCAAGGAACGTCAAAAAAGTAAGTTTCTAAAATTACAACAGAGAGCTGTTTTCTCATCACAAACCATCAGTCAAGAGCAGGAGTTTGTCGCCAACACTAATTTTCAGGACTAGTGGGTTAGAAATTTGTATAACAGGACATTGACACAACCTGAGAAAGATGTGCTGACAAAAGGACTAAATTTTGCCATCTCCCCACAAGAAATACCTGTTCTGGAACTAATCACGGCCACTGAATCCACGATTAGGAACAACAACTTGACGGAAGGAGAGGCAGAACAACTCAGAATGAAAATATCAGCAACCCTCTCCAGTGCCAAACCGCCTCCTTCAAACCTCACACCACAGGAAAGGAAAGCTGTAACATCACTCAGCCAGGACCAAAACATCACCATTTTACCAGCTGATAAAGGAAGATGCACAGTAGTCAACAACACTTCTGAATACTGGGAAAAAATAACTACACTACTGAGCGATAGCAACACCTACGAGACCCTGAAGAGGGACCCAACCAGCACCAATAAAAAGAAAGTCACAGATTACCTGCAAAAACTTGAAAAGGAGAAAACAAACAATCGATCGTTGTATTATAGATTGTACCTAGGGGAAGCTACTCCCTGTCTTTATGGACTTCCAAAAATACACAAAGAAGGAACACCACTCAGACCCATCATCAACAGCATGAACTCAGTGACATACAATATTGCTAAACATCTGGCTGGTATTTTAGCTCCTCTTGT